TTCTGGCAACTGTCAAGTTGCTGCCCTTGACAAAGGCAGGCTGCTACTTGCCTAAATGTTGATGTTTGGTTTTAAAGTGCATGTAAACCCCAAAAATTAACTTCTCTTACTTGCTCCCTTTATGCCTGTTAAATATACCATTGAAAGCTTTTTGTTGTATCTGTTCAATAAGTGAAAAAAATGTTGATCCTGCCAGAAAACTTGTCAGTTGACAACTTCCTGTGTACTCCTGTATACTTGTGCTGCATTTTTATCAGTTACATTGTGATGAGGATTATAAAAACCCACCCCACCCCACCTCCTCCATCCACACACCCAGTGGCACCCCTCCTAAAGTGGCATCCGGGGCACATGCCCACTCTTCAATTACAACTCCACATTCTACTACATATTTTCAAGTGTGAACATGTCACTATTTGCCAACCAATTCCAATTTAATCTGCAAGAAACCTACTTATGAAGGATTTCACATTCACATAACAAACAGCACAAAGTCTTTGTGCAGAAAGAAAAGGCCCTGAAAATCACAGGAGGTGCTTTTATAATGGTATCTTATAGCAGACACTGAAATCTGTACATGAGATGTATGTGTATACCATGACAAAATAGGAACGGTGCCCAGCCATCCTACATGCTGTTTTCAAATGTGCCATCTGAATCTGCTACCAAAAATAAATATTGTTTTCCACATAACTCTATGAAATCTGTGCTGCCAGAATGTTTTAATAAGCCAAACACAGTCTTGTAAATACCAAGACACCTGCAGTAAATGAAGATTCAAACAACATGTGTTCATCTCACGAATTCTACTTTCTTTGGAAGCGTGAGGCTTCTTGTGTCAGATGACAAGAAAGAAGAATATAGTAGAATCAAAACCTGAAAACCCAACTGAATAGAGTAGGAAAGTGATATTAAAGACAAAATGTTTTTAAGCTATTTAAAGGAGAACTATGAGGTGAGTGCTTTTCACTCACCTCATAGTTCTAGCCGACCTGTGACAATGAGACTGTCACAGGTCGGCTCAGTAGATCGGGAGGTGAGCGAACACATACCGGGTTCGCTCACCTCTCGATCCTGTCACGGCTCTCGGGCCGTGACAGGGGAGGGGCTGGATTCCCTTCTCCCCGCACCGATCCGCCAGCGCTGACTGGCGGAATGGACGGGGGAGGGGGCGGGTACAGCTGGCTCTGCCTCTAGATAGACAGAGCCAGCTGTCACTCACACAGCTGGGCGGATCCAGACATCGATGACGGGATCCGCTCCGGCTGCGGCGTCTCAGTATAGCGCGAGCTGTAGCTCGCGCTATAGTGAGCCTAGGGTAACGGGAGGACGCTAGTTTGTGTCCTCCCGTTACCCTAAGGAGAACTATGGGAAAAGCCCTGACCCCATAGTTCTCCTTTAAAATGCTGATTAAATCACTTACAATGGATTCTGCTTCTTGATGTTTAAAAGATTTAGTTTCCTGTAGAATCATGCATCTGTGAGGCTAGGGCTACATCACCAGTGCCTCACTCAACCAGGAAGTGAGAGAACTGTAATTGTAAGTAAAAAATGTTTGTTTAACTAATGAATGTAAGATGATGCTCTGCAAGGTGATGTGATTTTTAGTGAACGGGGTAAAGGTCCTTCCCTTTCCCTTCCGCTGCCTGAACGTTTTTTTTTGCACACATGTTAAAATGCACTTTTTATTCCTGAATATTCCTTAAAACGGAAAATTGTATCATACTTACCAGTAATTTTCCTTTCCTGGTGCCTATCCATGGCAGCATACCAATGATAAGTATGCTGCCATGAAGGCACCGGGAAAAAAAATAACAACTGCCACCATTTTATTCTACAGGGTCTCTGCTTTTTGAAAATATGTCATGTTTTCCTGGTGATAAGTATGCTGCCATGGATAGGGACCAGGAAAGGAAAATTACTGGTAAGTATGATACAATTTTCCGTTTTATACCACACCATATTAATGCAACTGTTTATCAAATCTAAATGTTCAGTAAAAAATACACAAATTAATTTTAGCGCACACAGACACAATATAATACCCAATTTTGGGTAAACATAAAAGATGCGGTTGTTCCACGTAAATAAATTCCCAATATATCAAGCGTTAAAATTGTGTGGGCCAGCAAAACTGCAAAAAAAAAAAGGTACCGAAAATTGTCCATAAGTGATGGTTTAAAAGCCTTTATTGATCATCAATTTAGAATTAACAAGGAGTGATGGCTCCTAAATTATTGCTCCCACCGTGGTGTGCAAAGTGATAACTAACATGTGTGGCGAAATTGTAGTTTTCGAGCACCTGACACGCATGTTTACGTTCGTATGATCGCTTGTGCTTCATTTGTTTCTCCCGTGGTGAAAGAGGTCAGAAATGACAACTCTAAACCTGGAAGGGATCAGTGGGCGTTGCTTTTTGGGTTCATACTAGCCAGGGACTCCCAGTATACATGGCCTTAGAGTCTGCAGAAGAAATATAAATGGCCTCCCAGTGGAGAGGAGTCTATTTACAAGCTAGTGCTGCCATGGATGTAGTCAGATTTTTATTTAGGTCTGTATCTCTTTTGGGAGAGTTCCTATTACTTCCTATTAGTTCTATTCCATATCCACTGCTTGGACAGGATGTGAAGGGAAATCTTCCAAAGCAAAAGCAATCCTGGGAAAGGCTTCAACACTTCACAGCTTTATCCATCACTAGAATAAATGTGTTGGTTAGAGTTGGGTTTTAAGTCTTTGTCTTGCTGACATCTGAGTTGTGTAAAAGTGTACATTTTGAACAAGGTGATGATTTTGTCTCGAGTTCAATAGAGGCAAAAAAGAAAAATAGGGATTCCATCCCATCTTCTGGCACCTCAGCTGCCTCCTGCTGGGATGGATACTGGCCGACAGTGCAGGAACACACAGTTTGCGGAATCCTTTATTTTTTAAAGAAGCTTCCTAGCAGTGTAACACCTTTCTTAGCTGTAAATAAAATTAGTAAAGGTTGTAGATGATGAAACATGAAGCATGATCCTACAGATTCAATACGAGTCCCTTTCACAATTACTGCATATTCATAGAAGTTTTTAATCTGCATAAGGGGTAAGCTTTGCCTATAAGTTAACAGCGCTCATTAGTAATGCAGAGAACATTAATTATCATTAGCTCAGGCTAACAGGTTCAGAGTGCTTTAGTAAGCAGTTTCTTCTCTATTGATTTCCATTTTTACTCACAGGAAGTGATAAAGAGCACATTCGGAGGCTTGTATGAATTTATTCTGGATAATAAGTAGAGTAACATTAAACATAGTCATAATAATAGATATACTCATAAAAATCATAATAATTAGCAGTAGTATTATTATTGGCCTCTGGTTTGTAAATCCTGAGACATGCACCTCCTCCTTTACTGACTTGCTGTTTGTGCTGCGTGTTGGGTGTCTCAGTTGCCCGTATGATGAGAGTCATCAATTGCAAAACAATAAAGCAGAGAAGAGAGTTGAATTGCTGGCTGCACACTGGAGGATTAATAGAAAGAGTGTGAACTAAAACACTCTACACTAACTACACCTCAGAAAACCTAAACCAATTATTATTAGCGGCCAATTAATATAAGATTCTTAAAGCTAAACATTGGGCTCAATCTTTTAACTTAAATATATTTTGCTCAATGGTGACACAAGATATAACTCCACTTTGTGTGCACCAAATGCCTTTGCAAACTCACATATTTCCTTGTAGCAGTGACATCATCACTGTGCTGCACATGGTCTAAGCAGAGCAGTAGGAGAGGTCAGCATGCCCTACCCACTACAGGAGTGGGTGGAGACAAGACCAGTCAGCCTGCACAAGGAGAAAGAGTAGTGCCCTTGTCATTTGCTGTGAACTCAACTGGAAGCATAAAAACAATGTTATCTGTCTTCTGTAAACTACTTAACCCTCCATGTGATGCA